GTGGCATGTTGGCTTTTGCGGCATTTCGCTGGTTTATGCGGCTTTTGGCAGTTTTGGCTTTTCGCATCCTCTGCTTTCCCAGTTCCTCTCCGGGTTTGCAGAGCAATTGCCCCCCTATTTGAATCAACACTTCTTCAAACATCAGGGGGGGGGCTGCCGCCCCTCCCCAACCCCCCCGCTACTTTTTAGATTTCTTGCAGAGATTGAATTGCACCCCTAGTTGAATCATCAGTTCTTCGAACATCATGGAGGGGGCTGCCGCCCCCCCTAACCCCCCCGCTACTTTTTAGATTTCTTTTACAGGGATTGAAATGCCCTCCTATTTGAATCATCATTTTTTTGACCCCGTCAACCCGCCAACTACTTGTTTGATTTTGTTACCCACGATTTGTTGGTGATGCTAGGGATGTTGGTCGGACATGCGGAAAGCGATGCTGGGGATGTTGACGGGCTAGTGCAAATTGCGTCAATTTCGCAAGAAAATGCTGTAAAATACGACATTTTGCTGGCCCGGACGAAAAACGGACAAAAAACAAAAAACAATCAGAAAAAGAACACATCCCAAAATAAATCCGCCCCCTTATTCCATGCTACCTTGCTTTGTTGTGTGGCTCAATGTGCCGCCTCTAGATATCAGCCTGGAAGCAAAAGACAGCAAGGCAAGATGGATAATAATTTTAGTGGGAAACATCATCGACATGTTTGGTCACTTAAACCCGCATGTATGGGGAGCAGGAATTCCGCTTGAGCCCAGGTCCACCCTTCTCCCTTGCTCCCAAAAAAGTTACTGGTGGCCATGTCCGGCCAAGGAGCGCAGTGCAAGCGCAGGGCAACATCGAAGACTGGCTTCTAGCACTGGAGGCGGGGCGTGGGTTGTCCTCCCGGGTGCGGGTGCGGGTGCGAGGACCCCGTCGCAGTGCCCTCTGCGCGAAATATGAAGCATCGATGGCGATATCCAGAGCCCATTTGGATCCAACTGGAGAAAGGGTATATAATCTTGACTTGATTTTATCCGTTGTATCTCCTCACAACCCCAACCCAATGATTTAAGCCCAACCGGGTACGTCAGGTAAGGTTAGTAACCCTTGCAAATCACCCACTGAAGGCGGACGCACAGCTTTGGTGGGTTAGCACTGAGCACCCTGTCCGGTTATTAAGTATGGCGAGCTCACTCGGCAGAGGGCGGTAAATAGTCTTGAGGTACGCCACGAATGGTTCAAAGCTTCCCCAAAGACCCGAGCATGACCTGTGAGAATTCCGTACTGCCTTGGCCCTCATTTGCCGTTATTACAGCAATCTACCCTGATTTTGCTGATTTGGTCTTGTGTACTCTTGTTAACCCTCATTTACTCTTGTTGACAGTTGTTTAATCTTTACTCTATTTACCTTTCATTTAAGCCTCGCGCCTTGCTTCGGGGTTGCCCGGAAAAGGGTATGGTATTGGGGTCCTAGTGAAAGCCGTTTGAGTCCTTCTTGCCGACGGCACAAAACACGCGCCCAGACGGAGATGCAGCGCTCCGTGCGACGCGAGTGCCGGTTCTGCTCCATGGAGTGCGGGCAGGCGGGTTGGTCGAGGGAAGGCCCAAAGACATGACGAAAAAAATGGGTTTCAGGGAATCTCATCTTCTGACGGGTATGGGTCAACATGAAGCCAGGAATTGGACTGCAGGCTAAATCGTCCTTGTTTCCAGTTACCAGCGTTCCATTTCGGGTACCAGTTTTTGACCCACAGCCATACCAAGGGAAGCCCCCTTTGAAGTGATACAGGCGTGGGGATGGGTCTCCTTGACACCACCTTTTTCTGCAAGGGGGGGGGGGGGGATTTTTGGGAAGTCACTTCAAAGGAACCGCTTGCCATAGGTGCTGAACGGCCTCACCTTGACGGAGTTCGGCAAGAAGTGCATCGCGCAGGTCTCGCTGCTGGGCGCCTTGGAGAGGATCGATCCCAGCCCATTTTTTCCACGTGGCCATGGGTCAAAACCCAATTCGTACCCCAGTCAGCCCCCAGTGAACATCCCAATCCAACCACTAAAATAGGTTCTAAAATGGGTGGTGAATTCACCTATCCCAAAATGGGATCCCAGAACGGTTTTGAACCATGGCCATGTCTTTTTGGACCGCTAGCAAGTCTTTGTTGGAGGGCTTGGCTGTTTCCCTGGCTTGTTGGCTGGCAAGCCAATACAGTTTTGTGTCTTTTCTTCAGGGTACCCGTTTTCAGCTTCATCAGCATGCTTGGTTGCCCTCGATTTGAACCCCAGATCCCGGCATGTTTTGCCCAGGAACCTCACCCGGAAACACAAACACGACCGAGGGAAACCGAAGGCTTTTCTTCCTCAGGGCGTGTTTCCAACCCACTTGCTTTTTAACCTGCTCACCTCGTGGTGTTTGGGCCCCAAGGTACAACACCTTCATTTTACGTGGCCGGTTTTTACCTTTGTGGTTGGGCCAAGCGGACATTTCCCATGCCAACCCAGCGCGGAGAGTAGCCGGGTCCTCGCGG